GTAACAACATAGGTATAGCAAAATCATCATGTCATGGTCATTCGCCACAAAACCTACAGAAAATCCTAAATGAAATTATATCATGAGCGACAAAATTACAATGAAGTCCACGCAAGACCGAGTTAGCTGATCGAGTTGGCTAGTTCATCAGTATTTGGTTTCTTTTTTTCTTCATTCAGGGACACAATTAATCAGAGATAATGGGATTTCTGACCAAATATGCCGCGTCTCGTTTACAGCCTCTATAGCATGAGTTCGCGAGACATTAGCATTATTTTGAACGATGCGTGCTAAAATCTCCAAGTGAGTTTTTTGAAGATCGATAAAGTTGTTTTAATCTCCTAAACTTTTAAATTCTAGTATGGGACCATCAGGTGAATAAGACGAATACATTTTTTGAGTGAATGCTTTTTCACATGTACCTGTAAAAGAGGTTTTTAAAATGATGCTAATGAGCTATTAGTTTCTTCATCGCAATAAGTTAGAAAACATTTTGCCTTTTTGAAACAAAATTGGAGCAAAATCTCAGTGGTTTAATCAGAGATAATGGGATTTCTGACCAAATATGCCGCGTCTCGTTTACAGCCTCTATAGCATGAGTTCGCGAGACATTAGCATTATTTTGAACGATGCGTGCTAAAATCTCCAAGTGAGTTTTTTGAAGATCGATAAAGTTGTTTTAATCTCCTAAACTTTTAAATTCTAGTATGGGACCATCAGGTGAATAAGACGAATACATTTTTTGAGTGAATGCTTTTTCACATGTACCTGTAAAAGAGGTTTTTAAAATGATGCTAATGAGCTATTAGTTTCTTCATCGCAATAAGTTAGAAAACATTTTGCCTTTTTGAAACAAAATTGGAGCAAAATCTCAGTGGAGTTCGATTCTTTGGAATGATAATTTTTGTTTTTCTTTTTGCGGTTTTTGCCGTCTTATTTTTTTTATCATACTAGATCTGCTTCGACCAGCTCTAATTTTCTATTTGATCATGTTTTTTACTGTGTTTTTTTAAAGCTTGTTTGGTGTTTTCTTCCGAGTTGTTATATCTGATAATTCGGGTGCTGCTTGAACTTTTCTACTCCAATAGGTTTTTTTGCCGGTACTAAAAATTTCCGAGCTAAGGGAAGTGCTATTCATTCAATACCCATAGTCTGAGCCCCGAAGCCACTACACCGCCGTCTGTAACGTCCTGAGGAGTGTGGCATATGATCGCTTGATTATGATAGTACGCCTCCACAATCTTCATCAGGAAAATTTGCTATTGCAAAGTCGGCACAAATTTTCCTCCTGCTCCCGCAAATGGTACAAGTCAAACGGTTTCTGTTCATAGATTTACAGCAATGCTCTATGTGTTATTCACGAGGAATTTTTTACAATCAACTTGCGATGAATTGGTTGCAAGCGTAACCCTTTTTCACTCTTCGACTACTATCAATGACTCTTAACAACGGAGCATTGGTGTCACCCACAATCTCATGATGAATGATGTCTAACGATAAATCGTCACTTGGATTTAAGCAGAGATATCCATAGGGTTGCCGGATATGAGATGTTGTGATGTGAGAGTGCTATGGATATGACTGGATTCTTCATGACTAATATGGTAGCACGTTCCATCTCGTAAACCTTTCAAACCAAATATACTGGGAACATGTGGACTTTCAATTGTTATTCCTTCCCATAAAAGCATCCATAATGAAATATGTTTGATAATGGGGTCCATGATGCTATAACTGAAATTTTCAAGATCCACCTTCCGATTGATTTTGTTGCATAATTTCTCAATTTCATCATATTCACCTCTGTTTCACCTGTCTCTCTATCATATGGTCTAGATATTTTATTTTTTGATACTTTAAGGCTTGTTTTACCTTTGACTTTTTTGTAGTACACTATTTTGGCATCTGTCACATTGTTGATTTGAGTGGGAAACGATATTTCTGCCAATGCAACTCTCCATTCACCTTGTTGATCGATATCTTGGCTGAATTGATTTTTTAAGTTCGGTAGCGAGTTGTGAAAAACTAAGTTTAGGCTGATGACACCGATATAATAGTAAATGAATCTTTTTTGCATCTAATGTTGTCATACATTGTTTAGTTTGTTTCTTCTTTTGGCAATACCCTGATTAGTTGGGGCTGATTAAAATTACCCTCTATTGGTTCCATATCGGTGTCGATGAGATTTTAAACTGGTTGGTATGTGAAATATTTCAAAAAGTTCGTCTGTGATGTATTGCTTATAATTTTTTGAAAAGGAATGTCAATTTTAGCTATTCGAATAAAAACCACCAACGTAAAGCTTTGGTCGGCGAACTAGTTTCAGCGACTGTTCTGCTCTTAATGACTTAGACCTGAAAGGTCCTTTTTGGTCACTTTCTTCGGGTTAATTTTGTAACGCGGTTTGTTCTCGAGTTAAATTTTTTGACAAAATCTTGAAGTTTATTGATTTAAAATATGCCCATTTGTCCTCCAAATACTTTTGAATCAAACCTTTTAGTAATCGAATGTTCCTGTCCGCGAAAGCTTACTTTTTTCACTTACTGTTGAATAATTTTCAATGCCTTTTTCTTTCTTAAAACTTAGACAAACCCCTTGAACTCAGTGCTATTGTCTGCCTAGATTTTGTGGCTGAATTATTTTTATCATTTGTTTAAAATGCTTTTGCAGTTGAGGTAGCATACTTTGATTTCAATGATTGTACACGAAGAAATCGGGACGACTTGCAATCCACTGCAACCATAAAATACAGAAGGTCTTTGTTGCAATCTACAAATTTATCGCTAGATCAATTGACCCTGTTTTTTTTCATAAATTGACACTTTGAGACGCTTTGTTTGACGACGAGTTGTTCGATATTTTGTGTATGCAGGTTCTTTATGTAGAAAAATGTTTCATTTTATTTCGTGAAGTTTTTTTTTCCTCTTTTAAATTTTTTACACTGCCAACAAATGCTGGACCTTCAACTGTAAATTTAGTTTTCAATTGTTTTTCTTCTGCTGCTGTAAGCTTGCCATTTTTTGTATTCGTCTTTGTGTTATCCGTCATTGCAGAATCTTAACCGTTATCTGGCTTTCCGTATGCTCCAGAGTCTTTTTCTCCCTTTTCTCGTTTAGGCTTTTGCGCTGCCTGTTCTCTTTCTCTTTCTGCTACAGTCCTTCTGATTCTGCGTCTTTTAGCGCTTTTTGAGCCGGAACTTGTCGACGGTGTTTTGGTAGAAAGGAGGGTTGTCAATGTCGAAGGGGAAATTGTGAAACCTCTGCGTCTTCGCTTCTGCTGAAACTGCTCTGTAGTCATAGGCCTCAAAATCAGTATGAAAAATGGTAGTAATTTTCTTTTCTTTGTGTATCTTACAAAAAAAAATCAGCTTTAAGTCCGGTTGGAACTTTATCAACGTAAAGCTCTTCATAATTTTTGTTTATTATGACTCGCCCGGACTTTTTTCTAGAAAATTTTCGCTCGCTTAAGTTTGTGGTCGTCCATAAGTTCTACTTGTAACATAATATGTTCAGTAGTTAAGGCGTCATTAAGCTCAGTGCTTGTTTCCAGTTCACTTCCTTCATCTTCAGTTAGAAGTGGAGCTTGTTCATGTGGATTGCATTCTTATTTAGCAACAATTGGCATTTCACGGGATGGTATGAGGCCAGGGGTTGGTGTTTCAGGAGAGAATCAATAGCCGCTGTTGTTGTATTTGGGGGTCGTAAGCGGTTCAGGTATGATATTTGCGGTTCTTTATGTTTGATGATGTTTTCAAGCAAAATATGCGCTACATGTGGTTTTTCTCTGATGTATATATGCTTCGGAATTAAAACAAATTCTTCTGATGCCATTTCAAAGCTGTCAAAAATTTGAAGTAAAAATAAATGAGATGTCTGATTAGATTAAATCCCTGTTTGCTCAGTATAAAAGCTCGTTTCTTTTCAATACACGTTTTTGGATTGATCAAAGTTTTGTATGATTTTTCGAAGTTATCGAGATTTGGATTACTGACAGTACTTTACCGTTGTTTACATTGAGCAAGCGTTCACAAAAACCGGACAAAAATTGACTCTTTGATGTTTGTTTTCTAATAAAGCCCCGTAGTTGAGTTGGATTCAACTGTACCATGTGCTGCAGAAAACATAATTTTTTCATTTGTAATGGATGTCCTAATTAATGGCAACTACAAAATTTATCATCCAGGTGGTATTATGTTTGAGCACTATCTAAAACAGTCTGATATTCGGGGATCTATTTCTATTACTAGATGTCCAAAGCTGTGACTTGTAGCCAGTTCATACGCGATTCGTAAGAGTTTGGGTACACTAAGTTGCCTTCCCTGATGATCAAGTTGCTAAATATTAGGAATTGGTTTGGTTAAAATGACGTGAGATGAGTCAAGTCAAACTAAGCCGTTTTGTTTTCCTGCCGTTGCTAGTTTAACGAATTCTTTATCATTAAATATTTCTTCTTAAGCATTTATAGCTTAGGCATTTTCATCCGTCATTGTAAAATATGCAGATTGGAAAACAAATATCGAAGACAATTAATTAGAAAAACAAAACAATGAAAAAAAAAATTTCGTATTAATTTTCAAAGTTTTTTCCTGAGTTTTTGATGTTTTTGATTTCTAAGATGAAACTATTAACTCATTTGAATAAATCTACTAACTTCATTTGAATAAAACTAAAATTTCAAGGCTTAATTCAACTTTTTTGAAATTTTTATTTCGTTCGAATTACGGCTGAAACACGGATATATATCACTCAACCCTTTCCGAGGATTATTTTTGTTAGCTGAATTTGTGTGGAAAACAAAAAAACTAAAACACGCCTGAATAAAAAATGGTCGGATCAAAAGAAAACTTGAAAACCAAAAAACTTCATCGTCATAAGTTTTTCACCGAATTTAGCAAATGTTTTTCTGACAAAGCCCTTTTTTGCGGTTTCCATGAATTCAATACCGACTGTTTGCTTTGTACTATTTTTTAACTGATCGTTTTTCGCTTTTATTATCTATCATTCCTCGATGTTTCAGACGATGTCGGAAGCCCAGTGTTTCGAGTGAAAGGAGACGTTAAGCAGCCTGTCTGCTTATGGGGAGTCGTTAAACACAGTCCGTCATACTGCGGTAAGCCCGAACAACCGATAGCGGCGTCGAGGATTGCCTTTTACACTGAGTATTTCAATCGAGAACCGAACCCCAATTATGGTGCATCTGGTCGAGTTAAAGTTGAAAGTCAAGAGGTCAAGGATATAGAAAGTTGGACCTTGTTTTTAGAGACAACTTCAATTACGTCCAGCTCTACAACTAGCTCGACAACTAGCTCGATAACTAGCTCGACAACTGATTCGACAACTAGCTCTACAGTTAGCCCGACAACTAGCTCGACAACCAGTTCGACAAGTAGCTCTACGAGTAGCCTGACAATTAGTTCGACAAGTAGCTCTACAAGTAGCCCGACAACTAGCTCGACAACCAGTTCGTCAAGTAGCTCTACAAGTAGCCCGACAACTAGCTCGACAACCAGTTCGACAAGTAGCTCTACAAGTAGCCCGACAACTAGCTCGACAACCAGTTCGACAAGTAGCTCTACAAGTAGCCCGACAACTAGCTCGACAACCAGTTCGACAAGTAGCTCTACGAGTAGCCCGACAATTAGTTCGACAAGTAGCTCTACAAGTAGCCCGACAACTAGCTCGACAACCAGTTCGTCAAGTAGCTCTACGAGTAGCCCGACAACTAGCTCGACAACCAGTTCGACAAGTAGCTCTACAAGTAGCCCGACAACTAGCTCGACAACCAGTTCGACAAGTAGCTCTACAAGTAGCCCGACAACTAGCTCGACAACCAGTTCGACAAGTAGCTCTACGAGTAGCCCGACAATTAGTTCGACAAGTAGCTCTACAAGTAGCCCGACAACTAGCTCGACAACCAGTTCGACAAGTAGCCCGACAACTAGCTCGACAACCAGTTCGACAACTAGCTCTACAAGTAGCCCGACAACTAGCTCGACAACCAGTTCGACAAGTAGCTCTACAAGTAGCCCGACGACTAGCTCGACAACCAGTTCGACAAGTAGCTCTACGAGTAGCCCGACGACTAGCTCGACAACCAGTCCGACAAGTAGTCAAACAACTAGCTCGACAACTAGTTTGTCAACGTTATCAACACAGAATCCAACAGTAGACACTAAGGCAGTTGAACATGTCACAGAATCGACTACTACCATCACATCACTTGACCCGACCAGCAATGCGACATCGGAAACAACGTATGAAACGACTTCTGGAAAAACTACTAGCAGAACGACATTGGATACGACCAATGATACGACTTCTGATGCGACAAGAGTCACAACTTCCGAAGCGTTTTTCGAAGCAACGGATATAGTGTCATCAGAAACGATAACTATGACAGACTACTTAGAGGAAGAAGAAGATGGGGAATATAGTAGGGTAGTTCCAACCACAGCCACTAAATTGACTATGGAAACTATTACTTCTTCAAAAAAGAGAAAAATTGCATTCAAAAACAATTCTTTTCAAGCCGTATTTGAAAAAACGCTAATATCTTGGATCATACTTCAACCACTTCTGTTATTGTTTATCTTTAACTCTGTCTGATTTAAAACATTTTTTGTTATACTATGTGCATTTATTGTTACGACTTTTGTAACGAAAGTGAAGGAATAATTGTGCTCGGGGTGGTTTTTTTAATCAGACAAATTTTGACTTGTTAACTAGCCATTTTTGACGGATTTTTTTTTATCATTCAAAAGATATTTTTGTCCTGAGCTTAAATTTGAAAAAATATTTTAATTGTGATCATTTTTTGTAAAGTAATGGGGGTTTAAATTTTGCCATTTTGCTCAATTTGGAACAACTACAGCGCGATATCTTTTAATCTTAAAAACTATCTTTTAATAACCTTAAAAACGCGCAAGCGGAGATTTAATTGATCCGAAATTTGAAGAAAATGGAATATTTATGCTCGGTGTGGTTTTTTATTCGGTCAATTTTTGCTGATCGAAATTATAGTCCTCAACAAAAAGCCCATTGAAAATATCTCCTTTTATAGCCCATTGAAAATATCTCCTTCCTGAGTTCAAATTGAAAAAGATATTTCACCACCAATCGTTTTTTGTAAATTTCTAGGGGTTTAAAAATTGCCAAATTGGCCATGTTTTGGACTAATTTATGCGCGCTTTGAAGAGTTGATTCATAATGCTGAGTGAGTAAGGCGAGTTATTTATGCGTGGCGAATTATCCCGAACAACAAAATTGTTCCAAATTGAATTTAGGCTAGCTAATTGGTCGTACTAATTTCGTACGAATCAAAATTTTTGCTTTGATTTTGTCCAAAAGTTGTAGGTTTTCAATATTTTTCCCCAAAAACTATTCGATATGAATTAAGGGACTGTCGGAACATTCAGGGCTTTGCCCTGATATACGAGAGATTTTGTTCGTCTAGAAATTGTTCCAAATTGGGTGAAAGAAACTTATTTGCCATAATTTATTTGTTACCAGGAGCGAAGTCTACCACTTTGTACTTCATATGGCGCGTCGGGAATGATTATCAAACAAATCTCAATTTTAAGTTAAAAAATGTTTTCATTATAGTGTTGAGATTCAGTTTTCTCAAGTTATTGCTAATCCATATACCTTAAAAGTCAGTCGGAGCATTCAAGGCTTCGCCTCGATACGAGCAGTCTTGTTAGTACTCTGTCTCAACATGTTGAACAAATGAAGCACTGGGTAGTGTTAAATGACAATGAAGGTACTTATTGCCTCTTACAAAACAAGAATTCAATTTGAATGTTGATCTGAAAAGCAAATTGTCATAGTTGATCGCCACTCAATTTCGCATTGACAAATTTGAGATTGAAATCGATTCAAAACTATTTTTAAAGAGATAAAGTTGTTAGAATTCGATTTACGACAGCCCATTTAGGACGTAAATTGATTTAGAAAGGGTTTAAAGGATTTTTACACAGGAAAAAAAATGATTTTATTGCTTGAAAAATGTAGACAAAATCGATTTATATTTGCTTAAATCGATTCTGTTGTCTCTAATAGTGAGAAAAAAATGCATCCAAAGTTTGACCAAAAATAGACTTAAATCGATTTAGAATAAAGTAAATTTGATACAAAAGTTTTAAGCTAAATTTAAAAGTCGCCTGTTGCATTTTGCTGTATCCGTTGTCTCAGTAATCTGAACGCCTACTCTAGTCGACCAAGGAGGGTTATCTTGCAAGCTCTTGCAAGATTTTGCTCTTATGGAAGTTATCTTGGAAGTTATCTTTTTTTAAAACACATACATCGTCTTTGAAAGAACCACGCAAAAGTTCTGCAAGAATTTGCCAGATAAACTCCCTTGATAGAGTAGGGTTACTAGCTACAGCTGCAAAATAGCTTAGGTTATTTACCAAATTTTTAACACTTTGTGGCCATATAAAGTTATTTTTGTGTGTCAGGGATAATAAAATCTCATTTTTTGAAACTAAAACGATAATGAACCCAATTTGAAATAAGTTTATCAATATTCCTGGGCTATTTCTAAACAAAAAGCAAAGATATGGAACAAATTTCTAGTTTCAAATAGCAAGTGTGTTCAAAAAAATAAAACTGCTCGTATCAGGGCGAAGCCCTGAATGTTCCGACTGCCTTTTAAGGTCTATGGAGCAGTAATAACATGGAAAATTTAAATGTAATAAAGTAAAATTAAATTTTTTTTCCTGAAAAGTTTGAGATTTTTTGTGAAAAAATGAACCCCCCACTTGCCATATTAAGTACAAAGTGATAGATTTTGCTCCTATTAACAAATCAATTATGGCATATAAGCTTCCTTGAACCAATTTGGAACGATTTCTAAGACGGGTTAAATCTCGCTTACTCGTTAATAGCGTGAAATATGTCGCGCGTTAATTGTCCCAAATTGGCCAAAATGACAATATTTACACCCTCATAACTTTACGAAAAATGATCACAGGTGAAATATCTTTTTAAATTTAAGCTCAGGACAACAGTAGCTTTCGAATGATGTTAAAAAAACTCGTCAAAAATGGCTAGTTAAAAAGTCGAAATTTGTCTGAAGAAAAAAAAACCCACCCGAGCACAAATATCCCGTTACTTTCGTATCGAAAGTCGGAACAATAAATTCGCTGGCTATAAAAGCTGGCATGAGGCAAACGCCTTGTCTTAGCTATGCTCTTCAAACGGATCAATACATTTTTCTTGGAAAGCACTGAATCTTGAAAAATATCGAAAATGTCGAGAAAATGAAATGAACTCAACGAGCTATTTTTCCTGGTGCATAAAAATAACTTTGAATTTGATTGTTTTCGAAATCATCATTCTAAAGTCTTTCTAACCATTACTTGCGTTACTGGTTGCGCGTACTGAAACTGGGATTTAAACTCAATTCTGTGGCTTGTCTCTTTTCACCTGTACTTGTCTGAATCAGACATGAGTGGTCTTGATAAAAAGAAAAGTAGTGAGGTCTTGAGTCACTATCAGACTAAAACTCTCCTTAACAAGTCCTGGTCATACCTGGACCAGCCGCGGTCAAACCTGATATCAAGTAACATATTCTTTAACTCCGGCGAGAAATTCTCAACTTCTAATTTTTTTTATCTGCCCAAAAAAATTTCTTGAATGTTCAATTAATTAAATAGTTTCTTAGAATTATGAGCTCTGATCTACTTGTGATCAGACTCTAGCTAAATCTAGGCTATTTCTAGCTTTGAAAAGTCTCATGCAGGAACTCGAACCCCAGATCTACCGAAACGCTACTTCCTTTTAACAGTCTTGTGTCATAGGGTTAAATCAGTTATCGAGTTTATTTAGTTCATGACAGTTCATCTTGTCAATCATTTCATTTCACTGCTACCGTAGTCGTGTTGACAGGTGCTTGGCCTTCGGATTGTTTGATACCTTCGGATTTTACCTAAAACATTGTCTCGTTTGATCTTATGTATATCAGTTGCCATTATTTGCTTGTTTACTCTACTTTAATTCAAGTATGGGATTACCATTCTTTTCATGGCGCAGCCAGCAGGTACAAGTGGGGGAAAAACCCACTTGGGATCGTATCATTCTGGCCAGCAAAACACTCGGAACCCCCCATGCTGTGGGAATTTTGGTTAAACCGGTTCCAATGGGGAATGGTTGCGAAGCATTCCATCAATCCAAAGAATTACTATTTTGCGGACACGTTGACCGAAGCGCAGATAACGACCTTCCTTACCGGAAAAAGTGGACGGGAAAAACAGATTAGCATCGGAACAGACCCTAATCTCAAATCATTACCTTTGTTTGGGCGAGCGAGGACAGGAGGAATTACACAAACGACGACCACACTTAGATCTGGGAGAGTCACGCTATCCAAGGGTACTGGATGCGATGGAAAAGGACTTTAAAAATGAGAGGAACGAAACCTAAGAAGTGTTTCAGCTACTATCGAGGAAGCAAAGAATCGGGGAATCACTGGAGCATTTTCATGCGGTGCTCAGTGGACTAGCAGCGAGTTGTGCTTTTGGGGAATTGGAAAGTAGAATACTACGGGCCGTCTTCATCGTCAATATGACAAATCGCGAGGCGCAGAACGAGTTATGTCGAACCACAAAAACCTGGAAGAGGCGTATAGAATAGCCCTATCGTACGAGCGAGGGGATAATTACACAAAATCGTATGTTACAACCGGAGGCACAACGTCGAGTAGTACCGGAGGCGGGGGAATAAGCATTAAATCGGACCCGGTGGGAATAATTCGAGGCGGCTACCGAAACAGCCGAGGGAGAGGACGTGGCCAAGCGCATGGCCGTGGATCGCACCGTGGGGGGGCACCAACGCCGGAGACCGGAGGTGTTACAACTGTGACAAACCTGGATTCACCAGGGAACACATGAATGAATGAGCGGCTAGAAATGTAATTTGCAATTTCTGTCGAAAATTGAGCATTTTGAACGCACTTGTAGGGCCAAGAAAAACAGTAGGGGTAACTCTTCGGTTGGAGTCATTCAGGAGCAAGCAAACCAATTCGAGTCGGAAGAGACGGGAGATGAAGAATCGCAACACGAGAATTCAGTGGGATGGGTGAACCCAGTAGCAGAAAAGCGAGTACGATCGTGGGACTCCCATAGTTCAGGGGAAGATGACTACACGGTGATGGCCGTGCGATCGAAAACTCATACCGAACTACGAGTAGCGGAGGCGAAGCTTCCCATCATGATCAACGGGCAGAAAACCAGTGTGTGGCTCGACAGCGTGTCGCCAGTTTCGATTTTTACGGTTTACGAACTCCGGAAAACGCTGGGCGCCGCAGGCATGAAAATTGTAAGAAGTCACGCCGAAGGATCAAGAATTCAGAGACTACGGAAATAACACAATCAACCTACTGGGGACAATGAAGGTGGAGCTAGCATCAAACGGTAGGAGTACTCCAGCAGTAATCAAAGTCATTGGAAGTGCTCGCCCATCAATCATCGGGAGAGATTTGATGCCAAAATTAGGACTGCAGATTGTGCAAAGGAATTTTCAATAACTTGATTCCGATCCAACAAAAAGGACAAAGAGTTCCAATCACGTTACAAGATAAGGTGGACGTGAAACTGATAAACTAATTAAACAAGGGCATATAGAACGGCTGGAGGATTGTTCCGATAAAAAATTCGTATCACCGATCGTAATCACCGTAAAGAAAGACGGATCGTTAAAATTGGCATTGGAGGCACGGGAATCAAACAAAAAAAAACATAAGAACAAGTACCAAATGCCGAATATCGAAGAGCTAATGGACGCCGTCGGCCAAACAATGAGCGAAAAGAAATCGGGTGAGATTTTTTCTTCTACATTGGATCTCATGTATGCCTACGGTCAACTGCCACTACTAAGTCAAGGTAAAAGCGTTCACTGTAACTTTTGGCTTGTCGGTGGACGCTCAACCAGAACGTATAGATTCAAAACCTGATTTTACGGCTTAACGACAATGCCGGCGGAATTCCAACGTGTAATGGATTCAAATCTTTCGGAATAGCCGCAAGCACATGCATTCATTGATGACATTTTAACAAAATGTAAAATTTGCACAGAAAGAACGCGAATGGCTCGGGCATAAAAACACGCACACGGAAGTAACACCAAAAATTCGGAAGACTGAACCGATTGAAGCGCTGAAGCCGCCCCGCACACTAACCCAATTGAAATCCTTCATGGGATCGATTCATAGTCTCCATAAATACTTGCCAGCATTAGCGGAATCGTCAGCGCCGCTAAGACTATTGTTAAGTCGAAAAAATGAAGAAAAAAAATGTTAAGTCGAAAAAATGTGTTTAGACATCAGAATGCCAAATGGCATTCGAGAATTTTAAAAAAATTGGCCAATATTGTCGAACTTAAGCATTTTGATGTACACAAGGACATCAGAATAGTATGCGACGCAAGCCACAATGGACTGGGGGCAGTACTAGAACAACTAAGTGACGAGGGTTTGACCGATTTCTTTTGCGTCGCGATACTAAAGCGACGCCGAAAAACGCTTTTCAACAAATGAACTAGAAATGCTTGCGGTCGTTTTGGGAGCGGAGTCTTTCCAGAATTATGTACTAGGGAGAAATTTCAAGTAGTAACGGATCACAAAGCACTCACATCACTCCTAAACGGCAATAACAAGAAAAATAAAACGATGTTAGCCTGTTAACAAGTTGGCTGGATCGCCTAATACCGTTCGACTTTGAGGTTGAACATAAACCAGGGGCAAAAATTGGGTTAGACGATTACCTATCAAGACACCCAACCAGCGAGTTAACGCCCGTTTCATCTTATGATAGCATGTTTACTACCGCCAAAATTAAATCAATTCAAAACGCCCTCGGTTACAAATCTGAACTTGAAAATGGCTCATCCAACACTTCAAACGGGAAATTAGCCATTGGCAGGAAAATAGCCAATGGCAATGCAGTATGCAAACTTCGAAAAGTTAAAACGCGGGTAGAGGGCGTAAAACCATACTTAAACCGAACAGCCAATAGGAATGAAGACATTTGCATACGCTTTCGGTCATGTGACGAACTATGCCGACGGTCACTCGGATCTAAAAATAGATTAGTTGGAGCTATTACTATTGTTGAGAACAGACAAAGGAAATCTATTAATAGAAATGAGAGAAACTGTACGAAAATGGAAACAAAAATAATGGACAAATCGATGAGAAAATTACAAAAATTCCTACAAAGACACCCTAGTAGTACCAGCAGCGAAGACGAAGTGGAAGAGTTACCCGGAGAAGGAACCGTAAATGTTAGTACAACGGAGACTATGAGTACAAAATGTAACACAGTGTTATCGATACCTTCAAAATTCACCGGCGAAACATTTCCGTCGTTAAACTCAGAAAATACTCATGTCAGTTATCCCTAGAAATTGTAAAGTTATTTCAAAAACCACCGCCTTACCTGAACTTTTTAACCTTCGGATTATCGAATCTCAGTATCCTTCAGATACCCAAATTGAGGCCATTTACCAAATTATTAAACCCTTAGACCCGAAAACGGCATCAAAAAAATATGCTATGAATAGATACTATGACTAATTCGTAAACGAATTTCATATGAAGGCAACTGCCTTTGGATCGATGACAAATTAGTTATCCCAAATTCTTTACACACTGCCCTTAACAACAGACTTCATTATTACCACCACGGGATAGCGAACATGTTTGCGGTGGCAAAGGATATATGGTGTCCTTATATACACCAAAACATTGCCAACATGTCCGAAAATTGCCAGGAGTGCATTCTCGCCGGTAAAAATTTAAAACCAATGTGCCCAAAAGGAAACCTAGGCAAAATACCGGAACCTAAAGGGCCTATTGAGGCGGTCCAACTCAAATTTTGGGGGCCTATAAACTATTTACAAGAATCGCAAAAATATATAATGGTGGCTGTGGACAGATTTTTGTAGAAAGGGCCATTGCAAGCTTGAAAACTCCATTTGAATGTACGCTCGAGAGAAAAACCCGGAACTGTTGGAAAAAATGGTGGAGCGAGCTTTGTGAGCATTAAGATTTTCACTGAATGCAACAGTAAAAATAACGCCATTCCAGGCACACCACGGCAGGGAGGCAAACACCATACCTCGAAATCTATCTAAAAAACCATCGCTGAAAAATTTGAATAGGTCGAATGTCCTAAAATCTAAATCTGCATATTTAGACAAACAAGATGCCTTAACTCATGCCGAAGAACATGCCGAGGACGGTGGATCCTCACTGGGGCAAGCGCTCAGACAATGAGTACGGGGGGATGCAAGGCGGAACCATTCGATTAGACTGACGGACAATCAAGACCTGAGACAGGAAAGTGTTCCAATGGCTACATCATTTAGAGGTCTGGGGGAAAAGGAAGCAGGACCATCCCACATAGTGTACCAGCGTACTGGGGACCCTAACCTGAGAAGGTATAGAAAGTTAAATACAAAAACTGTTGCAGAAAAAACACACGCTTAAAATGAGTAAGGGTACCTTGCTTAGGAAATCCGGAGTTGCTATTCGAAAAGAAACAACGCCGAAAAAGAGAAGCACTGGACTCCCAAAGCCAGCAGAGTTACGAAAGAAAATCGCGATCGCGGAGGCAAAAAAAAACAAAACTCAGAAAAGCGGGGCGGAGCAAACTACATCAGCGACGAGTCGGAATCGGAGAGTGACAGCCAACCGTTGGCTACGAGTAGGATTGGGGTGAAACTGCCATTGGCAACATTGCCAACTCCGATAATTGAATCCACGGAGCAAACAAACTCGAGGTGCGATGAGCGAACGGAAGCGAACGCGCAGATAAGGGCAGAAACACCAGAGGGGGAGCATAATAAGGGGGGCAAGTAATTAATGTGAATCGAAGTAATTCCTACGCCTGACCAAAGAAACGGCGAACCCCTTTGGTGTTGTTTCAGGACATCCCTATTCTGATGACCGCCTCTACAATTTTTCTAAAGGCAACTTTGAGCCAGTAACACTAATTTTGGGGGGAGGGGGGAATCGTGCATTTTTTTCCGGCAAAATCTTTTTAGAAGATTTTGCCGGAAAAAATGCACGATTCCCCCCTCCCCCCAAAATTAGTGTTACTGGCTCAAAGTTACCTTTAGAAAAATTGTAGAGGCGGTCATCAAAATAGGGATGTCCTGAAACAACACCAAAGGGGTTCGCCGTTTCTTTGGTCAGGCGTAGGAATTACTTCGATTCACATTTTTGACCTACAATTTCCGAGCTAAAAACCAATACAGAAACATATGTCGAAAAATCAATCAAAAGGCTCAAAAACATTGTCTAATGTCAAAATAGGGTTTTTGATGTTTGATTGGGCCCCAAAATTAAATTGGTTGACCTTAAAAAAGATATTTGAACAATCCCCCCCCCCCCTCTCTGGAAACAATCCTAAGTCCACTTCTGAAATACTCGACCGACCTGTAATTTTTCTAGATCATCCCTTATCTAAAATTTAACTTGGTGTTTTGGTGCTTCAACTTGGTGCTTCAAAACTCAAAATTTAACATTGGTGTTTTG